TTTAAGAACAAAGTCTATAATATACTTGAGGGTCTCTGATGCTGAGAGAAATGCAGAAAATAGTGGATATTAATAGAGACAAAAATTTATGGAACAGTTATAATAAAAAGGACAAGACCGTTTTTTCTTTTCTTTCTTTATTTTTTTGTGGGGGTCTTTTTCAGACAGAGTCTTGCTATGGAGTTCAGGCTGAACTTGAGCTCACGTTGTAGCTCAGGCTGGTCTTGAACTCCAACAATCCTCCTGCCTCAGCCTCCCGAGCACTGAGATTACAGGTGTGCATCACCAAGCCCTGAAAACTTTTGTGTATTAATTTGATATTCTTTTTGTTCCCACATATCTAATAATAACAGTTGTCTCAAGGATGTTTGTCTTCTATGCTCACAAACATAGATGAATACTTACACATGGAAGCCAGCTCCACGACAGAACAGTTATGTGCATTTTTGAGACCCAGCTCATTCAAGGAAAAGCATAGAAGGCCTCTATGCTTTGTGCTTATCCCTTGCTACTGCTTCCAGGTTTCTTCTCCCAAAACCAATTGTGTTTTTTTTTTTTTTGCCAAAATTATGATGATGGGCAGAGGTGGAAAGATGGGTATATTTTCGGAGAAGACAGGTATCTTAGATATCATGGCTGGAACAAAATACCTTACACTCCCAACTTAGAGGAGGAGAGATTTATTTTGAGTTTTAGTTCCTGGTCAGTTGGTTCACAGGCAAAATGGCATGGTGGCAGGCCCCAGGCAGAGGAAAGCTGCTCATATTATGGTGGCCAGGAAGCAAAGAGTGAAGGTAGGAGCCAGGCAAGAAAATATACCCTTCCAGGTCATATATCCAGTCACCTCTTCTGACCAAGTCTCACCTCCTAACAGCAAGTCTGCTATAGAGCCATAATCCAATTATCTGCCAAAAGCCCTGCCTCTGAGTACAGGAGAGTTTGGTGGGGATTCTAGATCTAGTACATAACAATAGGAAAGCTCAGCTTGTGATCTTTTCTGAAGCCATCATCATGTTCCTGTCTGTGATTATCATAGTTTTCCTGATGCCTGAGGTTGAGTGGTGGAAAAGCAATTAAATAAAGGAAAGACAGCTTTTCAAACTGTAGGCAACTTATTAGTGGGGTTATTAAATCATTTATCATAGAATTACAAGTGAATTGGCAATAAAAAGTATAGTATGTGAAGCACCAGAATATATTAAAGAATCATAATAATAATGAGAGTTTCTATGATTTTTGGGTTTCTGCTATTCACATACTTATATATACTGTGTCCCGGGAGCATAATTGTTAGTGTAACAGTAAGAAAAACTGAGAATTGTTGTTAAGTCACTGGCTAAGAGGCTGGGTGCTACAGTCAAATTCATTGGGTGTAAATCTTGGCCATAACACTTACTCAGTGGGGGACCTTTGCAAGTCATTTCACTTCTTTGTGCCTCAGGTTCTTCATATGAAGATGGACTAATAAAAGTATCCACTGAGAGTAGATGTTATGAAGATCACATGACTAAATGCACACTTATATTGTAATCAAAATATATGATGAATATTTAAATTTTAAGTGATAAAGTAAAAGACATTGATATTAATCCGTGTCAGACCATTGCCCTTTGCTTTGAACATACTTATTTCATAATTTTTAACACTTTCTGAAGCAATTCTGAATATCCTATTTTGTACCTTTACAAGGTGTGATAAAAATTCAGTAAATGCTGCTATTGAGTAACATTTAACCCAAAGGCAAGTTCGTAAAAACATTATTGTGGGGAAAAAACAAAGCTATGGTGTGGCCTTATCCACTTTATTCATTGGATCTGGCACTGTGCAACTCTAGATTTTTTCCAAAGTTAATGACCATGAAAGGTAAACATCTTGAATCAGTTCAGGTCATTGAGGCAACCATAAGAGCATAATTAAAGACATTCACACAAACACACCCATAAAGCATTTCTAGGACTGCTTCAAAAAGTGGCAAGAAATATAGGACAGTTGTATTCAAAGTGAGGGGGAGTATTTCGAGATGAATTAATGGCAATATATCTTTTAATATACCAAATATTTTAATTTAAACTTTTACCTTGGTTTATGATCACACTTCATAATACACATACAACAGAGCTGGGCACATACCAAGTCAATAGATATTTACTATTACATTAGAATTGCTGGTATTATAATTAACAATGGTGGCACCTTCATACAATGTACATCGACTGCTTACTACAGTACTGAACCAGATTAAACGCTCAGTATTGTTCATTGCTGTGGAAAGGACTTCTGCTGCTTCCCGTGTCCTGTTTGCCTCTGCTTGCTTGCATACAAGGAAGCAACACTTTCCCATTTCATTGCAGACAGGCAAGGCTGATGACTAGGGCTGGCCAAATGATTTTAGGTGGCAGCCATAAATTCCACTTTCAGGCCTGAGCAACTGACTGCTCATTTGAAACCCTCTGTCGTGGCACTTTGAAATCTGGTACAAAAAGCACTGAATTGTGTACTTTTAAAAGGTGGATTACAGGGCCCAGAGATATAGCTCAGTGACACAGTGCCTGCCTGGCAAGCATAAGGTCCTAAACTTGATTTCTAGTACCTCCCTCATCTAGATAAATGGTCCAAGAGTTACAGCTTAATAAAGCGGTTGTAAATAAAGCTGACAGGCTAGATCTTCAACACAGCCATGTGAGCTGAGCCTGGTCAGCTTTATGTAGTCACTCAGGACATAGGCTACAGTAATTCTACCACACTGTCACCACTGTCTAACCCAAGTCTGCATGCTTTGCTCTAGGAAAACAAAAGAGCACCAGAGGGTTTCAAATGAGCAATCAGTTGCTAAAGAATTTTTTATCTTATGAAGATTGGACAGTTAAAAGGAGGTTGTCTTTTAATTGTGAAAAAGAAGTGTTTATTAAGAAAATAATTGAGAAATTGTACTCTCCATTTCTTCTTTGACATCTTCCTAATGTTTTCCAAGTGCAATATGTTACATGCTTATCATGTGATAGTTACATGGTTTTGTTTTCTCTTTTTATCATAGCATCATTTTGAATGCACTTTTCTCTGTGTCTAAACGGGATTCACTTTAAAAGTCTACACCTTACTTCTAGCTATTGTTAAACTTTTACAGTTTGACTTGTGTGCACAGAACTGAGTTTCATTTACTCATATATTCACATGTATGTGTCCACGCACACAGACTTGAAATGAAAGGGAGGCAAGTGAAGTGCCTAGGACATAAAAATTTAAACCTTTTGGTAGGACATTTTGGACATATGTACTTAATTTGTCTCACCCAAGTCCAATCCCTATACCTGTATTGTGTATGTAGTTGTATTCATAATTGTATGTGTAGAGGTGTATGCATTTTGTCAAAGGATAATTCCTACCATGGGAGATTACTGGTCCAGAGTATGTTAAGATTCTAATTACAAGTGTTTCTGGGAAGGATTCCATTGAAGGATTTCTTTATTTTTTTAATCAAGATTTCTGATATGTGCACAATGGCATTTTACAAAGAGCACAGAGGCAACAGAAGGGAACTACCAGACCTACCACAATGCTGTACTCCAACAATAGTATTATTATTGCTATAAAAATTCCATAGATCTAACTTTCCACATTTCTAGAGCCCAGGCAAAATATCCCAGTCTTCATCCACCTTTATACTCAATTACCTTGGTGTACCAGTCTGGTCACTGAAAGTCCATCATTTTCCCAAGATGTCAGTGCTTGAGATTCGGATCCATGTGGTTCTAATGGCAAAGCAGCCCCTATGTCAAGAGAGTCTCATGGAGGAAGAGAGGTGAGCTGACTGCTGTTTTAAACCAAGCTCCCAGTTATAGGCCTAAATTCAAATTCCATTATTTGGGGACAAATAGCATCAGAATTTCTCTCAGTAACTACAGTTTTTACAAAATCAAATGGAAAAATATCTGGTTTATTCTGGTCTCTCTAAATTTTTCCTGGGGGTGGGGGGAGGGGTACTTCTATATAAGCACCAAATGGAAAATTACCAGAATGGAATTTACAGAAATCTGGATCCTGAGTCATTACCGGGCAGATATAGAACCCAGTCTTGCATACAGGAAAGATTAGAAGGTGACAGAGCAGAAAGAGTAGGTTGGGGTGAGGTTAAGCCTCACGGAGAGAGATTGTCGGAAAGAAACCAAAACTGTCTTCAAGGTTCTTAAAGAAACTTTTCTTTGGCTACTTATAGAACTGTCATTTTTTTTTTTTTTTAAGTACATCCAAACTTGGAATACTCGAAGCGAAAATATTATCGTTAACTCTTCACAGGTTTCTATATGTTCACTGGTCTAGAGAGATTGACTAGGTTATGTATTGGCATTTCCTCACTTTGAAAAACTGAATGGAAATCAGTCTTACTGCTGAAAGTCTTCCGTGCTCTGGGTCAAGTTTAGCAAGACTCCCTAACCTCAAAAGTTGCCGGCTTTTGTGGCAAAGTTTAACTAGCGTATGAGTAACACTTTGGGTGGGGTGCAAAGATCTGCCAAGTTTCATATATACAGACTGGGCAATTCCAACTCTTGTGAAGGTATTATACAAAAATCGGAAGCCATTTCTCTGATACGAACCTTCGTCTAAGAATAAGTGCTTTGAACTACTCTTAAAGCCAACATGTTTTATATAGACTAAGAACACAACATTTGTCAAATTCCCAAAGGACATCCTGCCGAGACTGCGCAACAGACAAGCACATTGTTCTGGTCTCTTAAATGAAACCAAAACTTCTTTCCTAATTCTTTATAGGACGCCTGCTTCTTTTGTTTGAGTATCTGCTTTTCCTCTTGCCACCGTAGCTGAAGAGCTCTTCTGTCACGTGGGGAGTAGGCTGGCGGTAGGAGAATCAAAGCATGCAGCCACTCTAGGACCTGGAGCCAGAAGCGTCTTCGCCGACCCCCTCTACCCCCCCCCCCGCCTTTCTAAAACGGCTGTGACCAATCAGAAGGAGCTTTAACCCAGCAGCGCGCCAATCGCAGGCGGCCTTTCTGCAAGCCCACGGTGGCTATTTAAAGGCACGCGCCTGCACTGCTGTGTTGGGAGTCGTTTGTGGCGTGTGTTACTGTGCGGCAGCCATGGCCAGCCACGTCGAGCTCTGCACCGGCGCCAAGATGCCCATCGTGGGGTTGGGCACATGGAAGGTGGGTGCTCTGCGGGGCGCGGTCCCTGCCGCCTGCCTCGGCCCCTTGCGGCCTGGGGCGTGGCGGGAGCAGAGTGACCCGGCCCGGCCAGCGCGCTGTTGCCTTCCTGCTGCGAGTGCGCTGGGGCCCGGGTCTTCCGTCCGGATGCGGTGAGGTGGGGCGGGGAGGCTGGGGAACAGCACGCAGGAGGCCGTCCCCAGCCACTACCCGGGACCGTGGTGCTCCCCGAGCCGCGGCGCTGGCCCGGGATAGGCGACCGGAGCGCCTGGCAGAGAGATTGAACTGCAAATGAGACAGAAGCAGAGCCGCCTGGCTTTTGCCCACACACCTGTGGCACCTGAGCCTCACGTGTAGATAATTACCCTTATGACTCTCAGGAGTAAACCTCGCGAGTTAAGCCTGCAAATGGCAGATAATTAGATTAGGTGGCACGAGTTTGCTCGGGACTAGTTTACTATCCTGACTTCAAAAGCACAGAGCTCAACACCGCAGGGTGGCTCGGGGCTGTGAAAATCTGTGCTCCCCATTTTTGGATGCCATTCATTCATAATCTGGCGGGTGCCAGGATCACACCCCGAAAACCTCAACACCATGTAGCCAGATAAAATGACAATAGATAATACAGTACAGTGGGACTTGCAATGTATGGTAATATGGCATGAAAATGGTAATTTACAAAATAAAAATGATAACGTGATTATCTCAAAACTGAGAAACACGGAAAGGTATTGTTATGGGAGATGAGACTAAATCCAGGCTTTTAAGGCCATTCCTAAATTCACTTCAAGCTATCATATGTTATGTTCCTCTGCTCTGGGCTGGGTTTTTCTCTAACAGGAATTATTTTTTCCTTTTTTTTTTTTTTTTTTTTTAAAACTAAGCTTATTTGTACATTTTAGGTATAGATAACGGTCATATTCATCATAGGGAATTTGTAATTGTATGTGCTGTATCTTGATTCATTTTTTTCCTAATCCTTTACCCTCCCTCCTCCCTCCAATCCCTCTTCCCTTGTTTATAAAAGCTGTGTTTCCATTTTTTTTTCCATTTTCTCTTTCTTCCTCCCCCCTCCCTAGTTCTCCTTCCTATTTGAACATTTTCTTCCTATTTCACAGTATCTGTTATACATTTTGGTCCTTGTTTACAGTTTTGGTTTCTTACACCGGAAAAACAATGTGGTATTTACACGTGCGTCCAATTTATTTCATTTAAGAGTATGATTTCAGGGTGCATCCATTTACCAAAAATGTCTCAAGATTATTTATGGCTGAGTAATACTCCATTTTATTACAATGGAGTTCTAACAGGAATCATGGCCTGGGTATTAAGTATTTAACAATGAAAATAAATGAAAAAACAAAAAGCAGGAAGGATAGTTTGAAATAAGACAAAAATGGAAGTTACCCTACCTTAAAAACTTGCAGTTGAACCTTAGGATAAGGTAAGAATCCTAGTTCTGGGTTGCATGGAAAATGTTTCTTGGCCAAAATGATCAGAGTACATAATTTGTATTTCTTCCCAAAAGTCTATGGTGACCATAGAAACTTCAGGAAAAGTTTCACAAAGAGTACTTAACCTTATTATGTGGTGTGTGGTTTAGTATTTTTATTCTGTCCCATTTTTCAAACATTATGATTGTACTGTTAGAAATTAATTTCATGATCCATCATTTGAAGCTCATTACTCAAGGGTAAGCAAGGAGTTAAAGTTTATAAAACAGTTTCAGAGCAGTCAGGAGGCTAAGACAGGAGAACTTGAAAGTGCGAGGCCAAAGCAGTGTAATGGGAAATCAGTACGCTGTTGCTTAAATTGTTCTGTCTGATCTGCTTTGTTATGTCCTCTTTAAAAAAATTTTTTTAAAAAGTGTGAGGCTAAAACTGACCTAGCCTACATAGTGAGACTCTGTCGCCTTAAAGGGGGGGGGGCGGAGGGTTCCACTCAATTGTTTGATCATGCAGTAGCCTAAAGAAGTTGTGTATTCGTTTAAAATAGCGTTATAAAATGTGTGTTTTGATCATTCATTCTGGCTGAGAACTGGGATAGTGTTGCCATTTAATCACTTCTCACAGTGCTTGGCAGACAGAAGATATCCAAAAGTTGACTGGGTTAATATAGAAAAATAAAATGACTCTAGAGATAACTAAGTAGTGAAAGTGCCTGCTTCTATTTCTGGAGGTAAAATGAGGTTGGTGTAGAACTGTGTGGAGAGAGAAAGGAGCATAGAGGTGAAATAACTAAGTATGGGCTTGCAGTGGATTTCCTTTTTTTAAATTAAATTTTTATTTTAATGACTTGATACCTTTGTTCTGCATATGTGTATGTATTCCTTCACAGATGCTCAATAAAAGATGTCATTTGCTGGTCTTTATAACATTTGGAGAAGTCTAGAGATTCCTTTTTCATGTGTCTTTCAGTGTCAGTAGTTACCTTATACCCTGAAGATCGGCAGATTAGTGGTCTTATCTGCTGTCCATTAGAGGCTCTCATACTCTTTCTCAGCTCAGATGAGGCTTTCAGGCAAGTGAGAGATCCATTCTGTCCTAGACCCCAGTGTCTTAGGCAGCATATCTTTCTGGCCCTATTGTCTTCCCTGCTGGACAGCCTTTAAGACAGAGCTGATCTCTAATGTAAGCCTGTCCTGTAACTGATAATGTTTTTTAACTAGTTTATGATTATTGGTAGTGTGTGGTTCATCATTGTAACTTCCTTACATTGTCTAGGAAGGTGACACTTCCTTGTACCTCCTAGGAATGGAGTTACAACTACATTCTCATATCTTTTTGTCAATATTGCCTTTGCCCCTTCTCATCAGGAATCTTACTAATATATTTTCCTCTTAACAGTCCCCCATGAAAATTTTAATGTCACACATAATACTCTACATTTATTTATGTTTTTGTGTCCTGTAGCCTTTTAGCTATAGGAGCATCACAAGTTAGAGTTTTTCCCATATTGAGCCAGTCTTGATCCATCCAGATTTCAATCCAGGGTAGATACTCTTGCTTTAGAATTCAGCACTGAATTATTGCTATTAATCTGAGGAAATGAGTTTTGGTTTTACTAATTTGTGCTGTTGTCAAACCTGCCTATGAGCTTTGGTATAGAATATTAACCAGATTGACTGTTTACAGATGGTAAGACAATGGAAAGGATCATTCTTCATAGTCAACCTTTACCATTTGGAATTCCTGTTTACATTATTCAACCATAAAATGCATTTGGACATAGAAGCCAAATGAGGTTGGTTTCTCTGTGTTGAACAATGGAAAGTATACTTTCTGTTGACCATGGAGAGTCCATGAAAGATGGCACATTATAATCATACTTTGCATTATCCCTGGCAGTCTTGAGGACAGTAAATTTTAAACCTTGTTTATATAAAGCCACCACAGTACTATCTTGTCTCATGAAGGATCAGGAAGCAGTAGCTTCTTCATGACCTCCCTCAGTCTTTTCTTCTCTTTCTGTAAAAACAAGATGTTTTTTAGTTTTGTGCCAGTTGTCTGGCAGACTGTGTCATTCTGGTCTGTATGCTTTGGTTCCGTGGAACACAAAAATCAAGCAGAATACAAGCAAAGAAAAAGGTATCTTTGGGATGGGGATTCATTGAACTCCTGAATGACAGTTACTAACTTCCAGCATTGGGTTCCAGTTTACAAATGATGTCACCAGACCTTAGTCCCTTTTTAGCCCCACTTTTGTATAGCAGTTGTAGCCCATCAAGGGACTCTAGTAGAACAGAACATTGTCTTAGTAGATCAGTCCAAAGATAGTGTCTCATGGCCTGGCCGGGTTGTGTTCTGCCTCTGCACTAATCACTGTGGTAGATGGTGTGTGGCTAAGACAGACCTGGACCATGTGTTCACTCTCTGTCCAGGGCTGGGGGCTGCCTGGTACTGCACAGGCCTCCACAGAACATGCAAAATCATTGCTTACTGGATAGGCAGTGACCCAACAGCCCCCTGGCCCCCAGTTGTTCTCGTTCTTGGGCAGGGGGTGTACAGTGTTCTGCAGCCTGCATCAGCCATGGCTGGGTCCAGAAGGACACAGAGAACGTGGTAGGGGATTCTCCTCTAGACATGCTGGGATTCTCCTCCTTGCATTATTCCCTCAATCATAGAGGTTGGGGAAGGCTGCACGAACCTTGTTGGAGTAACCTCCAAGAAAGTAGGAAGTTGTCAGATTATTGGAAGGCCATCTGGTACCTCTTACCGGAGGTTACACTGGGCTGCCCCAGCATGGAGACAGGTCCCTTCCCCCCATGGTGGGAAGCAAGCTCAGCTGCTATCAGCCTCTGGTGATAGACTTGTTCCATTAGTTCAGCTCATTCTCCCAGACTATTCACAAGAGCTCCTGTCAAAACAGCAGATGTCTGCAGCTGCTGATGGCCATGGGGAGTTTTCCTTTCCATTTGTTTCTACCCCAGCTCTCCAAAGGAATGTGCTTTGTTCATTCAACAGTTTATTGCATGCATTTTTCTTGTTCAACACTCTCATCAGCAGGAGATGGGGTAGAGTCTGTGCAGCCTGGCTGGGTGCTGCTGAAGCTCACCCACTCTGCAGGCCCATCTCTCTCCTCAGCAGCCAGGCCTCCCAGACCTGTCCTGGCCACTCAGATTTTGCAGTGTTGACCACAGCAAAACAATGATCTTCCATGATCCCCATCTCCCTTCTCCTTTCTACTTATTTCTGTGTCAACTATCTCAAACTCTTCAAGTAGAGAATCCTGTTGAGAATTAGTTTTTGGCCTTTGATTCTACACCAGTTGAATTCTTGACTTAGGCGATTCTCCAAGAATTACTTAAAAACAAGTGATTCTCAACCTTGCAGTCCTTGTGTGAAAGGAGGAAACAGAGAGCAAGCCCTCACTGCTTGAAATGAGGAAGCAAGTGTGAACCAGTGTAGATAGCAGTTAATTTTGAAATATTTCGAGCTGTTTAAAACAAGTAGGGAATAAGGTATCAGGATTCAGATAGTGGGACTTTTTTTTAAAAATAATCATTGCCTGGGAAGAAGCAAGGAAACAAGATGACTTTGCGTGATTTAAAATTGATCTGTGCTGGTGGTAATTGATAGTATGAGTGTCCCAAGGTGTGAAGTAAACTGTCATCTCACCTTGGTTGCCCATGTTTGGGTTGACAGTGTAGAGTGCTGCTTCAGAAACATACTCCTGTCCTGCTTTAATAGAACGTAAAAACCAGGAATGCCATCAAGGACCAGTGGTTTGCATTGTGCTTCTTCCTTGGCTTTGTGCAGTTCTGTGCCCTGTTTCATTTTTAACTCCATGACTTACATGACTTTTCCTTTCAGTCACCTCCAGGCCAGGTGACCGAGGCTGTGAAGGTAGCAATTGACCTCGGGTACCGCCACATCGACTGTGCCCAGGTGTACCAGAATGAGAAGGAGGTAGGGGTGGCCCTGAAGGAGAAGCTCAAGGAGGGAGTGGTGAAGCGCCAGGAGCTCTTCATCGTCAGCAAGGTACCACTTTGTAGGGAGCCTGGGATTCCCAGTCACACTCACGCAGGGGGAACTCGGCTGAGGAACCAGGACTACACTCTTCACCATGAAAATAGCTATCACTGGCAAACAGTTCTTCCAGATCCTGTTATTTAAGCCACCAGATCCCCCACATCTTGTCTTCCTGCATCCCTCTGTTAGAAGGTCACTGTCCTTGGAATTAGGTTGGAGACTGTGGGGTAGAACCCCATGTTCCTGAGACAGGTTGTGGGTTGGTTTTTTTCCTTTCCTGGGAGTTACATTCCAACATAGGACCTGGCTCCCATCTGCAGACTGGGTGTCCACTGCTGGCCAGCATTTCTGACCAGGAAGTTCTTGCGAGATAACCCAGGATGGGAGGGTGAGGCTGGCTCCACATAGACCAGCCTGATAAGAAAATAGCCCTGAGAAGTCATGTCAAGCGAGCTGCCTTGCTGAAGTGCACATTCTTGTACCTTCTGTTTGGTCTTGGGGAAGTCTCCTTGACCCGATCATCTTCCTTTCCTTTGGAAAGATGGGATCCACAGTATGCACTGGAAACTCCCTCAAATCACTCATACCATCACAGCAAGATGGCTGGGTTGTGGGGAAAGGGACACTTCCTGTTGCTGTCCGGTTCCCAGCCAGGGTGCAGCCTTTGCATGGAAGTGATAAAATGTATTTGCACTGGTTTCAGCTGTGGTGCACGTTCCATGACAAGAGCCTGGTGAAAGGAGCCTTCCAGAAGACTCTCACTGACCTGCAGCTGGACTACCTGGACCTCTACCTTATCCATTGGCCAACAGGCTTCAAGGTAGGGACCTGTGGCCAGTTTTGAGCTCCCTTATGAGTGGTAGACTCTGTGCCTGTTGTTCATGATGTCATCTATAGAGCAGCAGCAGTGGCATCACAGTGTGTTGGAAACCACAGTCTCAGGCCCCAGCCTGTCGGAGTCTGAACACAGGTGACTTGGGTACACATTTCTTTTTGCTTGATGGTATATACAAGCTGCTGTTGTCTGTTTGTTGGTGACAACAAACGTGGTTGCTGTTGTCCCTGTTGCACACAATCATAAGGTCCAATCAGACCACACTTCTAGGCACACACACACACATATTCATACCTTACATGTATGTTTGTACCTACACTCCACATGTATACCCCATCTTGTGCAAATATATATTAAAAACCTGGATTTTTATACACGCTAAATTCTAAGATCATTAAATCTTTTGTCCTCTTTCTAACCACTGGCTTGGTTTTCTGCTTGGTTAGCCAAGTCGAAAGAATGTGTTTTATTCTGTAGCTATTTGATTGCACTGTGGTAGACATATTGGTGCCTGAAGGGATATGACTTCCATTGATCAGTTTTCATGCTAAATCAATAAGGGTTGACATGGTGACAGTTTCATAGGCCAGTAGTCAGGGTGAGCCCCATGAGTCTTGGCCTTGAGTCCTTTCCCTGTCCAAACGTTCCAGTGTATGGTTGGGTTAGTCTCTGTGACAAAGTCTGTCTGGCAATCTAGCTGAGAGGGTCTTGGCTCCAACCTGCTTGACTAAAGCAGCAACAGGGGCCATCAAGGCTTATCTGCCCATTTCTTTTTCATATTGGCTGCCAGATGTGCCCGTTAACATCTTCCACAATCTTAGGCAACAATGAAAGATTAAGATGATTTTTCTGAACAGAGCTCCCCAGGAAATCTGTGAAAGGCTGTTACTGATTGTTTTTGGTGTCTATCTTCTATTGTAATAACAGCATGGACCTGACTATTTCCCATTGGATGCAACAGGCAATGTAATTCCCAGTGACACTGATTTTGTGGATACTTGGACGGTAAGATGATCTCCCCGTCACAGTATCTTCTCCTTTATTGCTGGTTTCTTGTCCTTGGAAGTAGGGTGTGAGTGCTCTATACTGCCCCTCTTATACTGCATTTGTTACCCTTTCACTGGATTTGTTCTGCTTGTGTTAGGAAAGCCAATCTGGCTTTCATCTTGTCATCTCTTGGCTTCTAAAAAGTCCAGTTAGCTGGTCCTGAATAGCTGGTACAAAAGAAAGCTCTGATTCTTGTTCTTTGAGGTTCATGTCAGCATTAAACACACTCTGTTCTCTTTAGGCCATGGAAGAGCTGGTGGATGAAGGGCTGGTGAAAGCGATTGGCATCTCCAACTTCAACCATCTTCAGATCGAGAGGATCTTGAGCAAACCTGGCTTAAAATATAAGCCAGCAGTTAACCAGGTTAATCTCCCACCAGGGAAGCTGAGCTTGATGGCATCCTATTTGATTATCTGATCCCAGAAGTTAGTTCTGGTCTGCATCACTGAGGAAGTGGCCAGTTGGCAGATCTTGGGCAATGGTGGAGTACTGGGTTCTGATTTATCCAGATGGGCATGTTTGGGAATTGCAGCTTGCAGGGGACAGCAAAGATTTGCTCCTGGCCTTTGATGATAAGGGCTTTGACAGACGAGCAGCGCACAGTCCACAAGATCCTCTTGTGACAATTGATAAATGGCGAGGGCCAGAGAAAGCCTTTAGGGCATGTGGCTATGGGACATCAGTAACAAGATTATTGCTTTTAGTGTTGAGGACACTAGCTAGGAAACATGGAAAGTTCTTTTGGCTTATCTGAGAAGCAGAATGTTTTCTGTGTGAGGAGGAAAGGGATTTAGTATGAAGAAACTTTGCCTATGTCACATCAACCTGTACCCACAGTGCCACCATCAGCCCCTCTGTTTGCATTTGCAGATTGAATGCCACCCATACCTAACTCAGGAGAAGCTGATTCAGTACTGCCACTCCAAAGGCATTGTGGTGACTGCTTACAGCCCCCTTGGTTCTCCCGACAGGCCCTGGTGAGTCTGGGGTTGTGTTCTCTAAAGGGAAAGTGCTGGCCTGGTCTACACATCTTCCCTCAAGGTCTCTTGGGTTTCTTGGGAGATTGGAGTTTTCATTGGCAGATGCCTGCTTTTGCCCAAAGGGTTATCCATCATGACCTAGCTTCAAACCAGGAGACTGGCCAGCCACCTTGAGGTTGATGAGAGGGTTGAGTTGGGGTCACTGGCCCCTACTGGTCTTGCATGGGCTGATGATGATGCTTGAACTGAACCATCTTTCTGCTTCAGGGCCAAGCCAGAAGACCCTTCTATCCTGGAAGATCCCAGGATTAAAGCAATTGCAGACAAGTACAATAAAACTACTGCCCAGGTATGGCCATTTCCAGGCACTTTAACTGTTGCCAGAACTTCCTGCACTCTTTGTGGTCTTTATTAGCAAGGAGAAAGAGAGGATTGGGCCGGGCAAGCCTTTCAGCTGTGGCTTGGTGTCTTGGTGTATGTAATAGAACGGGCACAGCCTGGGACTCTGAATAATAGTACCCCTTCTCACTGCCTTATGGACTGCCCAAAGCTCAGTATTTATCAGTTTTTGCAGAAGCCTATCTTTGTAAAAACAGAAGAGCTTTTATTACCAAGTATGGAGGAAATCTTCCATTTCTCCTCAAAAGTTAGGGTGCATCCCTAGGCAGTGAGTGAACTTGTAATATCCATGGAGACAGTGATTAAGGGCAGGACTCTGGTTAGATCTGGAGGATTGTCTCGATGGGTGTGACATGGACATTTCAAAGCCTCTCCTTTCTCACCCAAGCAGTTCTGGCATATCTCTTTTTTTCTTGGGTTATGAGTGTGCATGATTAAGTGAGATGGTATTGCCAAGTGCCTGGCACATATACACACTTGACACCTCTCTGGCTCCACAGGTGCTGATCCGTTTCCCCATACAGAGGGATTTGGTAGTGATCCCCAAATCTGTGACACCAGCACGCATTGCTGAGAACTTTCAGGTAAGATCCCAACTGGTAGCCTGGCTTTCTGCAGTGGAGAAACAGACTTGGTGGAGTTCCTCATTCTGTGCTGGATAGTCTTATCTGTGGAACTTCCTGTCACCATTCTGTCCTGTCTCTGACTAGCAAGCCAGTCTCAGCTGCAGAGAGCAAACCATGGACTTGAAACAATTACTTCCTGTTGGTGGAATCTGTGTGCTGGAGGCAGGCATCATGGCTTAGTGGCTCAGTGGCTCCATGCTAAACACCCCTACATTCACTTGCTGAAGTTACTCAAGACACCAAATGTTTGTGCTGAGAACATTTCATTCTTGGACAACCCTGTGTGGAGCTCTGTTAGTTACTGGCTCTATGACCTTAGGCACATTATTTAAATATTCAGAAGGTGGATGTGAAGATTCAATAGATTGATACCCAGGGTATTTTGCACTGTGCTTGGTACCATAGTCAGTGCTCAGGAAACATTAATGCGCTGATGCCAAGTCCAGACTGCAAAGGCCCTTCCAGGTTCTACAAAGAGCCAGTGCAGTCATAGGCAGAGCCTAGGTTTACATCGGGACATCAGGAATGGAATTTAGAGTGGATTCAGGTTGCCTCTGGCTACGTCTCTTCTGCTGTCTCTGGTACCAGTGAAAAGGCAGCTGGGAAAGAGCTGCTCCGAATTGATCCTGACAGCCTGTGTTTTCTCTGAGCAAAGTAGCTCTGCTCAGACAATCTCCTCACCAGAGCATGGCACAACCTTGACCAGAGGGCTCTTTGGCCACTCAGACTTTAGCACAGGTTCCAGATGAGCCCAGGTTGACAGCAGGCAACTGATTTTGCTTTCTGAGATTGGCAAAATGCTGTGGCCAAACTGTGCTATTTGTCACATAGGAGAGTGGGGAGAGGAGAGGCCAGGGGACGGGGCCTTAGTGTTTCATGCAGGAGACAGTTTTCTTCCTTAAGTATTTAAGAGAAAGCATCAAAACAAGAAAGGCATACTCTCCTAGACACAAAGCCTTAATTTCATATTTCATTTTTTAAGGTAATAGAAAAGAAAAATGACTAATCTCAAAATGATAACCCAATTGTTTTATTTCACTGTGTATTCTTTGCACATTTTCCCATGGCTGTATTCACATAGTATGTGGCTGACACTCCATTCTGCATATTCTGTGATCATCTGAAGCTAAGGCTCCCCTGGCCTCTGGTTCTGTGTCCCAGCACTGTGCGGGCCCACTGGCCTGTCCACTTGCTGCCTACCTGCCGCCACCATGGACTCTTCCATGCAATCCGTTGCCTTCATGCAAGTGATTCTGCCTTCTCAATATATATATATATATAGGAATCCATATCTCATGCTTGTGAATTCTCAAAGGCTTTGTTTCTTGTCATATGCAGTATATGATTAATGAATTATTCCTTGTATTACAGCTAGTGAAACACCTCTGTCCTCTGCTTCACAGTGAATGGAGGCAAAGACACACTTTGTTTTTTTTTTTTTTTTTTTTTTGTTTTTTTTTAATTTTATTTAAGGAGAAAAGAAAAAAAAAAAGCAGGGAAAGGGTACATAATGGATTACATATTGTCATCTTAGAAATAATTGTTCAAGTCACAAAATTAAAGCTTGTAAAGTGGACATTCCATCAATGATACTGCAAACAGTTCTGTTCATTGATCCAATAAAACTCTGTGATATCATTTTCTATCTTATACACTTAAATATACATGCAGTTATATAGTTTAGAGCACTTTCTTTTCCTCTCTTTTGTACCATGACTATTACACATTTTGGGTTTCATTGCTCCCACGGTTCTTATTACTTTTTTGGAAGAGAGTAAAACCAAATGTGACATAACAGAACAGAATCGGTCAAGTCAAAAGGGTGGACATAATAGATAATGTAAAAACATAATACAGGTGATCAACAATGGTTACCATAATGTCTCCCGCTATCTCTAATAGAATTGCCTATATCATTAGTTATAATACAATTGAACAAAACAGTAAAGAATAAAACCGACAAAACCAAAACATTGGAGACATTGTAGGTCTTCAAAAGTAGCTAAAAGTCAGCAAGAATGGGCGTCATAATGAATCTCATTATCTTCACAGCTGATGCCTAAACTTTCGAACCTGATACTATCCAGCAAAACAGAATAGGGGAACATCAGTTAAAAACCAGATGGTGAGAGTAATACAGGGCTTTAAATCAAGGTAATGAAAAGTCAAAATGGGTTACTATAATATATCCTGCTATTTTTTTCCTTTAATTAAAAGGATAAAGATAAAAAAGTAAATAATGGAGTGGAGATTGAGATAAAAGAGGGCATAGCAACGAAACAGCACAGATCAAAACATAACCATTTAAGCAGAATAGTGTTTCACCACCAGATAATCCTAACCTAAAAGTAGTTACCATATTGTTTCTTTCTTTGAAATCCTTGAGTACAACTTCGTATACTGTAGCATTAAGTATATCAAAACAATGTAAAACCATTCAAGAGAATGACAGCATTACAGAGTATTTAGAATCGACTAACAGAAAATGAACAATGGTTTCTGTATAATCTCCTTGTCTTTAAGAGGTTTTTGCTTATACTATCGTACATAATAAAATCCAATAAGATACAGCCTATTTAGACCATTGGAGACAGAAGGACAAAAGCTAGATGAGACTTCAAAACAAGATGATACTAAATCAGTATTACCTATTAAGATGTCATTTTCTCCAAAATAGCTGTTCCTATCATCCAATCTTCTCTGCCTCATTTCTGTTAAGCTCTTTTTCTGTCAGTAGCTGTCAGTTTGTCTTCTTCATTTTGTTCTCTGCTCCATTTGTTGTGGCCTCCCCGCCACTATTTCTGGGTTCTTTGTATTTTTCTTTTTTTAGAATATCCTGCAATACTTTCTGTAGAGTTGAATTGGTGGTTGCAAATTCCCCCAGTTCCTCTTTATCCTGGAAGCACCTTGTTTTTCCATCAATTTCCAGGGACAGTTGTGCAGGATATCTCAATCTTGGCTGGAGATTATTATCTTTCAATGCTTGAATTATTTCCCCCCACGCTCTTCGTGATTTGATGGTTTGTGCAGAGAAATCTGCTGTAATTCTGATGGGTGTTCCCTTGTAAGTGGTCTGTTTCTTGTCTCTTACAGCTTTTAATATTCTGTTCTTGTATTGAATTTCTGGAATTTTTATTATTATATGCCTGGGTGTTGCTCTGTTTGGGTTGTAGGTAGCTGGGGTCCTGTATGCCTCATACATCTGAGTATCTTTACCTTTTGCTAAATTAGGAAAATTCTCCTGGATTATTTCTGTGAGTAGCTTTTGTAGTTCACTTGTTTGTGTCCCTACTTCTTCTTTTATGTTCTTAATCCTTAAGTTATGGATCCTCTTATCATCTTCTTGTCTTTGTATTATTGCTGTTTGTTTCTTTGTTATTTTTAAGAAGTTTTTCATTTCATTCTCCCATATTACAAGTCTGCCCTCCAGTTCAGATAGTCTGTCCTTAGTTTCTTTCAAGCTGTTATGCCAGTCTTCGATAGACTTCTTAGTATCTTGGTAGTCCCTTTGAACCTGCTTCACGTATTCTATGCTTTCTCTGTTTTCTCCATCAAACAATTCTCCCCTTTTTTTCTGTTCTTCCATTCCACCACCTGTTTTTTCTTGGGTGGTACTTAGCATTTCTCTAACTATTCTGCATACTTCTAGCTTCAGGTCGTTGATAACTTCATTCCTGAATTGGTCTATGAGGCTCTCTATATGGTGCCTTATGTGTATTGGTGCGGTGTCTGCTATTGCCTGTTTCTCAGAATTGGGGGCCGAGGAGCCTTTCTTGTTGCTGCCTCTTCCCATGCTGCCTCTTTTTCTCTGTTCCTTATATATGCAAGCTTATATAAGAGGCCCAGCTTCTCTCCCAGTCAGCCACAGCCTGATCGAATTGCACCAGTTAGGTGTTCCCGCTCACCGCTGCGCACCAGGGAGTTACGGACCAGGCAGCCTACGCGTCTCCCCTCCCGGCCACCGTCAGGCTCTGGGATCTGGGTTGGGACAGTCTACCAGGTCCGCCGGCAGCGTCACGCAGGCCAGGCACTTTTCACCAATCCCGCCCGAGAGGGGGATGTGTAGCTGGAGTCGCCACCGCGCCCTGCTCCCGCAGGACTGCTCGGGCCCATAAAGTCCTCTGCTGGAGTCAAACTGTGGTAGAGTGTCAGTTTCTCTCACTCACCTCACCATAAGTCAGTGCACGCCTCCCTGCCGTTCGCAGATTGCAGTTCTCAGAGCTTCTGCACGTCTCTCCCCTTGCCGAGCCGCTGTAGAGGCAGCCAGCCGCTGTGCGGCGGGAAACCCAAATCGCGGCTTACAATGGCGCGGTTCCAGCCTCCACACTGAGTCTTTTCTGTTCCTGTTTTAGCACCAGGACTGCATTCCAAGTTGGCTTCTCTCAGCCCAGTTCGTTCCTGAGTCAGCAGAGCATATCTCCACCTGCTTATGTCTCCTTAGTCCGCACCATTCCTGGCTTCTGAGCCGAGTCTTTCAGAGAGCCGCCGGTAGTTGCTGTTATCTGTCCGCCATGTTCTCCCGGAAGAGTCAAATGGCAACTTAATTGTGTGTACTGAGCAATTGGCTAGATCTTACATCTTTGACATCCTCCATAATATATTAAAAGATTGTGTGTCTTTCCGGTCTGCAAGAGTCCTTCCATGAGGCCTGTAGGCCGTAGAAGTCTCAGTAAGCAGTCTAGCCGGGACAGAAATTCTCAGCACTACGTTGTGGTCAGGGCAGCCATGACACCGGAAGTCCAAAGACACACTTTGCCCATTACATTGTTCTCTGAGCTTAGCACAGTAGCTCTGGTCAGTAGTGTGAAAAGAAGTGAAGTGGAATGCACAGTGTCATTCTGCTTGGAAGTTCCGGAAGGGGAGAACTGTCTTAGATCTGGCCAAAGTGTCCACTTTCTCTGGAGAGTAATATAATGACCTTTCTCTAAATCCACTTCACTTTACCATCCTCCTCCCTCAAGGCAGTAGAAGCCATCTGATGTATTTCACACGCAACATCCTGTCCTGGACTTTTATTGCAAAGCTTATTGTATTTTTTTGTTTCTTCTTTCAAGGTCTTTGACTTTGAGCTGAGCAGTGAGGACATGGCAACCTTACTCAGCTACAACAGGAACTGGAGGGTCTGCGCCTTGGTGAGGTAAATCCCGGTGTAATTGAGTGACCAATTCCCAGATCACCAAATCAGCCTCTGCAGCCTCGGTAACCAGTCTTCTTTTCACAGCCCACATTACCTTTGCACATTACCTTGCTTTCCTATCCCCACATAGCAGGAAACTGTAAACCTGGATCACCTTAACTGCACAAAGCCTGGGAAAATGCCCAGTCTGCTTTAGGTATCTCCTACCCAAGGGCATTGTGGGCCTGTCTGTTACTTTTCTCTCATTGCTGAAACAAAATACCCAATACCCAAAGTTAAGAAGGGAAAGGTCTGTTTAGCTCATAGTTTATAGAAGCCCATAATTGGCTGGCTCCAAGGCGGAGTGACACATGGCAGAGTGCCAATAGTTCCTGGCAACGGAAGACAGCAAAAGCAACAAGAGGGAGAGAAGCCTCTTTCTGTCCCTTATATTGTATCCAGTGTACCAGATCAGGGTGATGCCAGTCCTGTCAGAGGACTGATCCAGCAGTTGTCCACCCTTAATCCCAGCACCCTCAGTCCTAGGATTGCATCACGAATCAACCACACACTCTAGATTCAGCCACTCTGAAAAAGCTGCGTTTAAGTCTGTGTGAGGCTCTGGAGAGACATCTAGACACAAACCATAACAGGGCCCAAACTAACACATTTTTGCACTAATTTCCAAATGTTAGTGGCTTTTTGTATCCAGATGGGCCTGTCTTACCTTCCTGGAAGAATTTTCATCTAACCCTTTGTCTGGATAACTCCCTTAAGAGGGATTAATTAGGAAGACTGAGGTGCTGGGCTCAGGAGAGTCCCAGCACTGCCACTGAGAAGACCTGTGACTGAGAAAGCTGCTCAAGCATGTGAGCTATCTCCCACTGCACTGCCCTGGTTCCTTATAATCTCTGACGTGAGGTTAGGAACTGTGCGGGAGCTAGTAGGGTGGGTTTTTTTTTTCTTTTCCTGACAAAATTTAATGACAAAGCTTAAAAGTCACTCTTTGCTTCTAAGAAGCAGCTTTTCATTTAGCAGTGGAAACAAGCTTCTGCCTTCTTACTGTGCTCTTTCCTGTCTGAACTGTTGCTCCTCTGCCAACTTTAGTTCTTCCTCTCATAGGTGGAATTTGGAGGGTTTTAGCTGGGGTGGAGTCTCACCATGTGCTCTCTGCAGTGCAAAGATCCTACTGTGGTGGTGTCAGGCGGGTGTGCAGTTTGTATCTTGGATAGTAACTTTCATGAATGAAGCGTTGAGTGCTGTGATCTCACACATACCCATCCTGGAGAGCCCCAACCAGGGCCCTTTCCTGACATCTTTCTGTTTAATGTCCTTTCAATGTGAAAGTCATGTTTGGACGGGGTGGGGGCGGGGGAGAGAATTCAGGCAATGACTGGCCTAACACTGAGCTCCTCTTAGATCTGCCACATTCATCTTCCCTTTCCCCTCCCACTGCTGGTGCAGAGTAAGGAAGTCCTCAGGGCTGACCCGCCATAGTGCTTTTCTAATAGGTCCCTCACAGCCGATGCTTCCTTCCCAGCCTCTGGGGCACTCTAGAAACACTGTACAGTTATCCTGCACACCGGACTTGTAGAGTAGGTATGGGTCAGTGTTGGTGCTGGGGAAGAAGACACTGGTCCTAATGCTCCCAAGTCTTCAGGAAGTGTTTTCCAACTATCCAACCCTCCGACTGTCAGTATCGCTACCGTGAGCCTGATTGCTAGTGACAGTGTCCTTCCTCAAATGCGCCCTCCAAAAACAAAAACAAAAAAGCAAAAACAATCAGGCCTTGGGGAGCTTTTGAGTGATTCTCAATGTTTGAATGTTACATCTTCCATGATGGGTTCACCCTGGGCCTCCGCACTGTGAGCAGTCTTTCAAGTATTTGCCATTCTGTTTCCAGCACAAGCCACTGGCCCCACTAGAGGTGGGAGTATGAGCCTGCACTTCTGGATTTTTATCTTCTATGTTTCCTTAGTAGCTCTCAGCCACTCCATCACTGCGCCTCCACCCTCCCACTGATCCCTCCTGCTCGTCCTTTCCTGGGAGTTGTTGCTGTTTTACTAACTTTTGGGCTTATCTCTATTCTCTTCGCCGTCTTGCTGTTTCAGACAGTAAGTTGCTATGTGGTCCTCCTGAGAAGACTTAGCACTACCAGGAAGCCGGAATTGAGTCTTGCCATGGTGCCTGCCCCAGGCCCAGTGCTGGGTACACAGGGGCGCTGTGTCCCTCACATGTCCTGCTTGACAACAGCTACTGTTGGTCACAACTGCAGACTTGGTCTAAAGACTCAAAACTGGCTTGAGATTTTCCCTCCAAGCCACCTATTTTTGCCTGTAGACACCTACTCAGTCTTGGTTGTGCGGTAAGAGTCAAAGCCTCTTCCTTGAAAAGCAAATGTGTTCTTTTCTCTCCTGACAGCTGTGCCACCCACAAGGACTACCCCTTCCACGCAGAGTTTTGAAGCTGTGGATGCTCTTCCTCAAGTGACTTGTACCGTACCTAGTTTTCCTGCATCATTTGTCGTTGCAAAGTGTAGTGTGGCCCGTGTCCCTTGGCAGTGGACAGCAGCCTAGAGACCAAGCACCAAAGGCCCGTTAGCCTGACACTGGTGTGAAGAGTAGTACCAGTAGATGAGTGTCTTTTCTTTGCCTTTTATCTTACCCAGCTGGGTAAGGTACAACCTCATTACCCTTTTTTGACCAAAGAGAAGCAGCTTCTACAAAGTCAAAGTATTACTACTAACAGCTGAGTTTTGACTCCTTATAACTGTAACCCTATTAACCAAACTTCTCTTTGACTCAAATAAAAAGTGTTTTTGTGAACTGGTGTCATTCCATTTTGTTACTTTTTGGAATAGTAAACCTCCTTCCGACTCACTCCCGGCCTTCATTCCCTGGATGCCCCAGAGCTGGTGAACTGTGCAGCAGGAAAGAGGGCTCATTCCTTTCCTTGTGCTGGGGACCCTTCACCCATGTTTTACCATTTAACTTCACACAGTGAGTCCAATCCTGGCAGCATACGGTGTCCCCTGGAGGGTCATTGGATGCTGGTATTGTCTGGACCTTAACCCTAGAGATAAATCTGGCTGGATTATGACCCAGGGGATCCTCGTGCAGCTGTGGCTGAGAACCATAGCTTTAGGACCAAGCCAGGATATAAATCCATTTTTTATTTTACAGATTATTTGTTTGGTCTTTCTCCTGTAAAAGCCAAAGTCAGATATTTACTTATAGCTGTACCTGAGAGAAACCTCAGGAAACCCATTGTCAGACGAGAGAAAAAGGCGTAAATAAATAGCATCTAATTGGATAAAGATGAATGCTCTGTATAAGGTTTCAAGAGTAAAGGCTGTAAGGCCCTAATTCTGTTGCTTATTTTTTTTTTTTTGCCAGTTTTTCCTTATTCAGGATTAAATTGTCCCCCAAGAAATTGAGGGAATATATAGATACAGTATTAATTCATGAAGTCAGGTTGCTTTAGCTTTGGATGATTATACAAATCCTGACCAAGTCATATTAACTGTTTTGTGGATTACTGATGTTTTAAGATGTACCCTTCAAGTATAGGTAATTGGGCAGCAGTGGTTGCTGAACCTCATGCAGAGAAGGGGACCAGCCTAAGTAGCTGAGGTCAGACTAGGTGAAGGACTCAGCCCACCGTCCAGAATGCCCCTCGCCACCTGGCAGCCTTTTGCCTGATCCCCTCTTAGCATCTGCCCATCACAGTGAGGGAGTGGACAGGTGCTACCTAACTGCAAGCCATAAGTCAGAGCAGATTTCAAGGGATGTGTCGAATCACCTAACTAAACCCAGCCTCTTTCAACAGCTTTAAAACACTTGGGAAAAACTTGAAAACAATCACCAGTAACCTTTTGTGGGTTTTTTTTTTTTAAATGGGTTTGTTTTGAGATGCTTCCCAGCTAGTCAGTGCTCTACTATTTAGCTATATGTCCAGCTCTAGGCAGAGTTTTAAAATCAGTGACCTGCTTTCTAGATCCCTGCTTAAAATAAACTGTAGCAAGAAAATTTAAAAGTAAATTTAGAACATAAATGAGAAAAAAGGCAAGTTTGTGCAAAGTTTCCTCATTTTCTAGCGGATAACTTCAGAGTCTGACTGTCTCTTGGGAGGAGGCCTGGCACAAAACAACGAGAAAAGCTGGTTCTGCATTCTGAAGCTCAGCAAAAGTATATTGATGACCAGTGACGGGCTGTTAGTGGCCCATTGTTGGAAAATAGGGTATAGGGAGTAGCAGATTGATTTTGGGTCTTAGTTGAACCAGCTCCATTCCACTAACAATTCATCAAAGCAGACAGAGGCTCCATAGGTCAAAATGATCCCACTTTACTCCCTGGAGATCCCTTTCCTTTGTGAAACTAAAATCATCACACCTTCTGGGCAGGTTCCAGCTCAGCCTCAGGACTTTGGTGAATGTGCTGTGAGGAACCAAGTGACCATCCAGGGGGCTAAATCAGTGAATGATGCACAGTGATACAGTCACCTCATCTTTGAGGAGCTTTGTCTTTGTCCAGTTGCGGGGACAATATATATTGATGAAACAGTTTTACCCAGAGTCTAAGCCAATAGAGTACAATTGTTAAAAAGGTAATGAGGCCAAATGGAAAAAATGAAACCGAATTTTATTAAATTACCTGGACATGTAAAAGCTGTGTTGGAAAATGATAAGGTTGATAATAAACTTAGTTTCGTGTTCCATGAGAACAGCCCATATGAGCCGATTGTGTTGTTCATGGTGGGCTTCTAGGATGATGCCCAGTCAGGAGATGCACCATCAGTGTTGGGTCCAACAAAGGAAGCTTTTTGTACAAACACTCTTTAAAGGGAGAGATTCATGATGTTCTAGGATCCAGCCCCCTAGTTTACACACTTTCTGTCCCTTGAGGTTCTTTTCTAGTTGTACTTTAAGGTAAGACCTTGAGCTTTATAAGGAACTTGCCTTTTCTTCCTATCCTGGGGGGTGGCTACAGAACAATAAAAGCAGTTGATGGCTTTTCAGATTTTTTTCCAGCCCAATCTCTCAGCATAGCCTCAGTCTTCTGCACCACTTCAAGAAGAGGGCCTGAGACTAGAGTAAACTCAATAATGTCAGCAAATGAATGAAGAGCTTTTCCTATAGTGACTCTAAAGCCTCCTTACTGCAAAGTCAGTAAATTTCAGACCCAGGAGCAACTTCTCAGTTCTGCCACTGGCCCATAAATAGTAATGCCCAAATGGAGGCCAGTGGTCCTGTTTGCTATAGACTTCAAACTGCAGTTCTGTATTTTTAAAATCATAGCTCTTAGATATGACAGTTAAGCCAAGTTGTCAGTTTGATTGACTTGGAAACTGTATAAGAGATCAGTAAAGCATACTTTTCGAAGTTGGAATGGGTCATGGCTTGGCCTTTGGTATTGTATCTAGACCCTTAGTCCTTTGTCTCTCGTTCTCTTCCCTTTCTCTGCTTCCCAGCCACCTTAAACAAAGCTGCTTTGTTACACCACACTCTTTCACCATGATGTTTCTGCCTTGAAGCCAGCTTACTATGGACTGAATTCTCTGAAACTATGAGCCAAATAAATCATTTCCTCCATTAAATTTTGAATATTGAATATTTGGTCGCATCACTGAGGAATCTGACTAATCAAATCATTTTGATCTCTTCAGTCTATAAAGCCTACTTCATAGTGGTTGTTGTAGTCAGGGGTTGCAAGAACAATTACGTACAGGACACATAATTTATAATACTATCTTATGATGATCACCCAGAGTTAAATACAAGAAAGTGCAGGAAATCTGTCCATAACTCTAAAGACCTAGAAAATTCAGCCAAGGGCCTGAATCTGACAGTAATGTGTAGCCCGTGACAGTGCCTCCCAAGAGTCTAACTAGAGGCCTAAAGCCCACTGACAATGACTCATGCAAGTCAGTTTTATGAATCTGCACTGGAAAGGCCCAAAGGTCAGTGGTGGGAGCCAGAAAATCTATGCCAGCAGGGTGAAGGATCTGTGTTAGTAGGTTGAGGGTTCTACACTGGAGCCAAGAAGTGATGCTCAAATTAAGGACTAGGGCTGCCCTGAGAAGTACCACAGCCATCATCAGCAACAGTGAGGATGCTGTACCTCCAATGATAAGAATAGTTGAGTACATGTCAGGAAGCCAGGAGATTAAATAGCACACATCTTCCCCTTTGGAGCCAGGAAGCAATGCTCTATGTAAGGAGCAGAGCACCCCCAAAGTGAACCACAGCCACTCTCAGTGACAAGGTCCCAAGCTCCTCTGATAATAATGGCCAAATTCATATTGGGGAAGCTAGCCATGACACTCTGGGAGAACAGATGACTCCAAACAATGACACTTAGGAGAACTCACAATGGCTTACTCTTCCTCTCGCTGTCTCCTTTTATGGTGGCAACCTTCCTCAGGTAGGTCACCTACACTCAGCACCATGCTGAGTTAATTCAGCTGGTATTAGTTTTTAATCCATAACAGTGGTCATGAGTATTAAATGAAGTAATGAATATAAAACTCCTACCCGAAGGCCTTGTACACAGCATTCAAAACATGCTAGTCATAATTGATATTATTATTATAATCAAATGCTGACAACAGAAGCAAACCTATTCATCCTGTCACGGATTGTGGGTGGTATCCAGTGGGTATAGCTATGTCCAGAGTGCTTTCCTCTGCAGAACTAGCGCTTTGTGCATTGTCTGAGCTCTGCCCAGTCTCAGGAAGGGTAGCTCCTGATAAACTTATCAGTGAAGAGCACACTAGAAGTTTTTGTTCTCCAACTCTGCAACTGTTTCATGCCATGAGGAGTGAACCCTGAAGAAAATGTTTCCCAGGCTTTTATAAGAATTCTTTTTTTTTCATAAAGATAAGAGAAAAGACTACAGTGGTCATCAAATATAGTTTCTCTAAGCCAGTGTTTCTTTTAAACATTTTTGGTAGCGGACTCCATTCTTCACAAGTTCTATAGTAGTGGTAGCGAGCTTATGGCACATGTGTTGCAGCAAACTTTGTATCGCTGACATTTCTAAAAGATTCACCATCACTATCCTATATGGAGCCTCAATATATAAACTGAAATAAAGGCAGAGCTTCTGTGGTTTAAATGGGAGAATAATCTGAAAACAAAGTCATTCAACACCCCTTCCCATATCCCCCCACTCATAACAGCCTTGGAAACAACCCTTAATTTTTAACAAACAGAAACATTTTTTCATACAATTGCTGGTGTTCAGGAATTCTGGGTGACTTACTTGGGTAGATCTGGACCAGAGTCTCTCATGAAACATAGTTTGTATTAACTGTGAGACGACAACTGTTTGAAGGCTTGACGGGGACAGAGGCTCTCTGTCTCCAGGGCAGTGCATTTAATCACAGGCAAGTCAGTGCTAGTTATTGGCTGGAGACCTCAGTGCTACACTACATCTCTTTTTTCCTAAAGCTACTTGAACACGCACAGCATGACAGCTGACTCCCCCTGAGTGAATGATCCAAGGCAGCACAGTGGAAGCCACAATGTCTTTCACTGTCTAACTCCACAGCATCCCCTTTCCACAGTGTCTTAAAACAGGTCATCCTTATTCACTGAGGTCACCTCGCAGGCTGGCTACCACAATTTGCAACCCAAGAACCACATATTGCTCAGAAGGCATTTTAGAAATAATTATACAAGGAACATGATGTTTCAAAAGAACATATGCTCAGATTAGGAAAACCAAAACCTGAAGATCAGAGAAAGAAAATGACCAAAGCTCATCTAGCCATTTAATGGTTAAAAAAAATAAGCCCAAAATTCAAGTTTCTGGACTCTTTTAGT